CTACACAGACTCATAAAACTTTTGTTGATATTGGTGAAGCCGGGCCTGTCAGAGGCAGTTTAGACACACCCCTGGATATCAGAGCAGGAAGCTGGGAGCTGGTGGGCAGGGGAGCCTCCTCCAGCAGCTGGGGACTGCGGGTGGGGCTGGCCTTGGGACGCTCCCTTCCCAGGCTGCAGTGGCTTTTATGGCTGGCTTTTATACCTGGGTATTTGTGGCCTCCATCTCTGATGTGGGCCCTTGGTCTCCAGCCAAGGCTGCCCCGGCTACGGCTGTTTTGTCGCTCTTCATGCCTCATTCCAGAGAGACCTTCCTCAGCCAGAGTCTTCTGGCCAGGGTGGCTGATGACCATACACCCAGTGGCCGTTCAGGCCTCCACACATCCAAAGCACCTGTCTTCTCACCCCCCCTTCTCCATCCTGCCATTCACAAATCATCTCTCATATGACATGACTGTGGACGAGATCGGTGGTGGCCTCAGCCACAGTGGGCTGAGACGCTGAGGCTCTGGGCTCTGGCTTTCTCCCCGCTTCAGCTACCGGAGTGCCACTGATCCTGGACACCTGAAAAACAGGAAGGGGCCCTCTTTTATGTGGGGACAGGCCATTGGCTCAGAGCTTAGCTTACCAGGCTGACCCTGAAGTTGCCAGGTTGCAGAAGATGAGCACGAACCTCTGATCTTGGACCCCGAGAGATAAGGCGACAGGCGTGCACGCCGTGCTGGCGTATGTGGCGCTGGGAATGGAGCTTCTGTGGATGCGGCCCCGGCCCCAAGGGCCTCTTTCTGAGTAGCCCAGAAGCCTTTGCACCTGTTTTGCTAGCTTCCTTTGCCCGCCTGGGTGCCCTGGCAGGTTATGGCTGAGCCAGGCATTCAGAGGCTCTTACCCAGCCCCAGGAAGCATGGAAACACAAGCTTTTGGGGGCAAGGTTGGAAGATGGTTTTCCAGCTTCAGAAGATTCCCTTTAAAGGAGGGCTCTAGAATGTTCCAGGGGGCTGGGGAAGGTCGGGGAGGGCCAAATGGAAACTTGGAAGTGTTCATTGTAGACTCGGGGGTCTCCAAGCAGCAGTGGGGTGGAGGGGGAGGCTTGGGGTGAAGGAGGAGGCTTGGCCATCTCACCCAGCTCAGGGTCCTCCAGCTCTCCTGGGCCCAATGTTGTGGTTCTTCCCATCAGCTATGCCTGTTCACAGTCTCTTCTCTGACCCTGCCCTGCTGGGTGCCATTCCCATGGCTGTTAAACTATTATATAACTTGTCTTGTTCTTCATTGCCCTCTGGAAGCAGGACATAGCTCCATGCTGGGAGAGAGAGTCACAAAACTGTATGACTTTAGGTATGCTCCTTTAAGTTTATTTATTTGTGTGTGCGTGTGCGTGTAGGCCTGTGAAGGTCAGAGGACAAGTTACAGCGGTCAGTTTTCTCCCTCTACCTACTTGATAGCAGTGTTCTTGTGGAAAGTGAGCGATGCTTACAATATTACCAGGCATTTGCTGTATTTATAAGGCATCGTAAGAGCCGTCATGACTGTCCCAGAATGAGCGCTTCTGACTTGGAGGCTTGCACCTTTTTTGGGCAGTTAGTCCATTCCCGTTCTGAGGTTTTATTTTCAGAGCCACGAAGAAAAAATAAAAACAGTGGAGCCTGGTGGTACGAGTCCGTAGCCCCTTCCATTTGTCTGGGAGCTGAGGCAGGACGGTGGTCAGTTCAAGACTGACCTGGACTATGAGGTGAGCTCAGGCCAGCATGGGCAACTTAGTGATAATCTCAGAACACAGGACCGGAAAGAAGGCTGGGAATGGTGAACCTGCCCATCACCCACCCCTACCTGTCAGGCACAGGCGATGAGCAATTTCGCCGGAGGGTCCCAGCACAGAAGCAACAATCGACTTTATCGCTCATGCTGTGGCTTACAGATGGCTGTCCACACCATCTGCGGCTTCCCGTTTAAGTTGTTCGGCTGCCTCTGTGTACCCCAGCTATTCATATGCTGCCGCCATCAATATTTAAAGTTGCCCCATTGTTCAGAGTGGCTTTGGGCCTTGAGGACACGGCCTGCACGCAGGCGCAGTCTTTACGTTCCCCCCTGTTCCTAGCCCAACGTCTGGTCCACAAAGTGCTCCTTTTATGGAGCTCACTTACGCCTCTGTGCCCGTCTCTCCTCCCACTCCGAGCGAGACAAGGCCTCTTGACTCTCAGGTTGGCCTTAAACTCAAAATGTAGCTGAGGGTGACCCTGAACCTCTGCTCTTCTGCCTCCACCTCCCAAGTGCTGGAATTATAGGCAAGGACCACCACACCCAGTTTATAGGATGCTGGCACCAAACCCAGGGGTTCCTGGCTTGCTAGGCAAACAATCGAGCTACATTCTTAGCCACTAATCTCCCTCTCTCCTTCTCTCTTTCTCCAAAAATTGTATTTTTAGAACTACTTTTATTTACTTGTGTGCGTGTGTGCAGTGGCAGGAGAGGCCCGGGTCTCTGCAGTGGAGAGAGAAGGCTTCCTCCTTTCCCCTTGGCTCTCCATGAAAGGCGCGTTAGGCAGGGTGTGCTCTCCTCACTGCAAGTGCATATGTCCCTCTTGTTCAACAGGCTCCTGTGACCACAGTGGCCAGAGACACAGCCTTACAAGGAGTTGTACCCATGGCTGCCTGTGCCTTCTCCCCTGACCACTTGGCCCTAGTCCCCTGGGCCTTTCCCTTCTACCTCTACCTGGGGGCGTTGGAGAGAGCAGCTCTGGCTTCTCTTGCTGAACAGTGGCCATGTTGGGAGGGGTTGGTTGGGGGGTCTCTTGGCTATTGCAGCGTTGGCAAATGATAAGGAAATGTTTCTGGCCCTGGGGTGAGCTCTGGCTGGTGCCCTGGCGAAGCACAGGGATCTTGCCATGACTGCCGGTTTGCCCTCACCTTAGGAGACACTCCTAGGACAAAGGAAGCAGGTGGGCAGGGTGGAGGAAGCTAAGATTTCAGAAAGGTGCTGGTGACCGGCTTTCCGCTGTGAGCTGTCTAAATCAGTTCCTTTGGAGCACCCTCCCTCAGTCCCTCCAGAAACAGCGTGGGGGAAGGGAAAAAAGGGAAAGCTGGCTGTCCCTGCCCGGGGCTGCCATACCTGTCTGACCAGCCCCTCCTCTCCTTCCGCTTTCTCTCACTGGCTTGGCACCAGTGACGGTTCCCTCCCCGTAGTTTGCTGGAAAAAGTCTCCAGTCTTTGGGCTGGGCGTGGGCCTGTGTTAGAGACGGGGAGGAGAACACACACACCCAAATCAATTTTCACCTTAAAATGGAGTGTTGTTTCGGGGCTGTGAGACAGCTGGTGTGAATAGGATTTCCCTCTTCCCAGCTGAAAACCCAAGGCTGGGGTCTGAGGCTGGGAAGAGGCAAGGACCAGCAAGGGGGGGCGTGGTCAGTGTGCTCGTTGTGTGCCCTTGGGATTTCTCTATCGGTCTTTCTGGAAGTGACCTCAGACTGCGTGTGCGCATGCTTGAGTGTGTGAGTGTGAGTGTGTGTGTTTGTGTGCAGGCGTGCTGCAGAGGGAACTTGTCTGTGTGTCTCTAGGAGGGGGCTTCTGGCTTTCTGTCCCTTCGTCTCTATGTGCCCATCCTTCTGGGCAAGAAGAAGAGGAATCCTAGAAAATTCTCCTAGCAGGTGCCCAGCCTCTCCCATGGGGGGGGGGGGTCCGCCCTCTGCCCGGTCCCCGGGGACTGGGGCATTTATCTGTCATTTTCTGGGTTCCCCGCTTAAGATCCAGCCAACCCCACACCACACCCTGCAGTACCTTCCACAGAGCCCAGCCCATGAGCTGACTTAATTGCAGGTAGAATCTTTGCCTTGGGGACCCAAACCTCCTGCCTTCCACCCACGGGTTCGCAGCCTGCCCCACCCAGGCCTGGAGGGCCTCACTCAGGCTCCTGTCTCCAGCTCCCACAGGTGCATGCTGTGCCCCAGCCTGCTCTCCTGACTCACTCAGAGAAGGGGTAACGGGTTCAGAGAGACAGGTGCAGGGCAAGGAGGCTTCCCTGGGCACATCTGCCAGGGGAGCAGGGGACGAGAAGGGGGTCCAGGCGTCTGTGTCTCCCCAGGACCGGCTGCACTGGCAGCCTCCCAGGGAAGGTGTCCCCAGAGGAGCAATGACAACGAAGCTCCCCCACCCCCTCTTTCTGCCCTGGCCTCTGCTCTTTATTCCTTGTTACTCCTTGAGGCCTACTGTGTTCTACCTGGCCTGGGGCATTCTGGGATCTTGGTAGGAGAGTCCCAAAAGGGGCTGTGTTTGACTTTTCTTTACCTAGCACCCGGAGAGAAGACAACTAGAAGCATGTGTTTGCTCAGGCTGCAGATACCTGCTTAGGCCCCTTTCCAGTCTGTGGGGTTCGGGTTGTGGCACATGGAGGGGGCTGGGGTGGTGTTTGTGTTGGCTGTAACCTGGACAGAAAGGCTCGCTGGCCAGTCTGGAGAGTCTCCGAGGCTTTAGAGGAGACCAGCCCGATGTGGGAGGACACACCCGCCATCTGGAAACTTTAGTGCTGGGGCGGTAAAGGCAGGCGCCAGCTTTGGTCACGTAGTGATTTGAGGGGCCCTGTTTGACATGAGACCCTGTTCTTTCTTTCTTCTGTTTTGTTTTCTGTTTTTTAAAAGACCCCAAAGGCCAGAGAACCCGTTTTGTTTTCTGTTTGTTTGTTTAAGATCCCCGAATGCCCGGAACCCTATCGGCCCAGACCTCCCAGAGTTGCTCTGGCCACAGGAGGGTAGGGGACAAGACAGCCCAGATTCCAGTCCTGGGGGCCCCCAGGCTCACTTCCTGCCTTCACAGGAGCTCAGCCCTCTCTCCCGGATTTTTAGGGTGGAGTTGGAGGGCTCCTGGGTGGGAGCAGCTCTCTGCTGCCCTCACCTGAGTGCTGCCTGGAGGTAGCAGAGGCTGGGTTAGGCCCTGCCCTCCCCGAGCGCCGAGCCACTCAGGTGAGAGGCCAGTTTCCCTCCCCCGGGGCTGGGCTCCCTTTTATAAGGGCCCTTCGCTGGGCGCTGTCCCACGGCCTGGAAGCAGCTGCTAAGCCCGCGCTTGAACCTTCGTCCCTCCGCTCACTGCCCTCACGCCAGACTTCACCATGTCTATCAGGGTGACCCAGAAGTCCTACAAGATGTCCACCTCCGGCCCCCGGGCCTTCAGCAGCCGCTCATACACGAGCGCGCCCGGCGCCCGCATCAGCTCGTCCAGCTTTTCCCGGGTGGGCAGCGGCAGCAGCTTCCGCGGAAGCGTGGGTACCGGCATGGGCCTGGGCGGCTTCGGCGCGGCTGGTGCGGGGGGCATCACGGCGGTCACGGTGAACCAGAGCCTGCTGAGCCCCTTGAAGCTGGAGGTGGACCCCACCATCCAGGCTGTGCGCACCCAGGAGAAGGAGCAGATCAAGTCCCTCAACAACAAGTTCGCCTCGTTCATCGACAAGGTGAGGCCCTCTCTGCAGGACCCGCCCTGCTGTCCCACAGAAGATGGGCACATCTCTGCGCCCCCAGGAGCTCCTGTCGGGCCCCACCCATCCTGGCCACACGCCTCCAGCTTCTCTCCCACACTGTGGTTTGGGCCGAGAGGGGCTGACGCGCTTGTGGCGGACCCTGGGGCTTCTTGCCCTTTCACCTCCCTCGTTCAAATCCGCGCTCCGACCGGCCTGTCCACTGCGGGCCTGGTGCCTTCCCTGCTGGCGGGAGGGCCCCCCAACTCGCCTATTGGAGCCCTGTGCGCGTTTCTTCCTCCTGTTGAATAACGGAGGCTTGGGTTAGCTCCTGGAAGGGCCCGCGTGTCTCGACCGACCCCGGCAAACGCAGACGGAGGCCTTTGGTACCCGGGCCAGGGCGCGGGGCCTCCGGGCTGAGTCAGTGCCGGGCCCCTGCCCTCTCCCGTGTGGGCGGGGCCGCTGCGGAGCCCCTGCCCTTCCACCAGGAGGAGCTCGGGCGCCGGGGGAGGGAGGGGCGGGGTGGGGCAGCCCGCGGCTCCGCCTCGGGAAAGCCCGAGCGGGATCCAAAGTCTGCGTGCGGTGCACTCTCCGCCCCCCTGGTAGAGCCGGAGTTTACGGCCCCAGATAGCGGCGGCCTGCCAACGCCCTCCGCCTGCTCGGCCCCTGTACCCTTTCACACTCTCCTGCCCTCGCTCCGCCCCACCGCCTGGCTCCCTTGCCAGCCCTGAGCCAGGCCAGGGTTTGCCGTCCTGTGGCCCCGGGACGATTGGCCCTTTCTGCTGACCTGAGAGTGGGTGGGCCCGGGAGGAGGAGGGCGCAGGAGCTGCTCCTCCTCCTCTTCACCAGCGCCTTCTAGTTACTGAGGGAGAGGCCCTACTTCTCGCTGCCTCCCGACCGAGGGTCTGCTGGCCCCCAGTTTCCCCGGATGAGCCATCTTGTCAGCTCTAACTTTCTCATCGGTAGAATGAACATGACAGGCCCTAGGCCGTTTTCTGCCCGTTTAGCTCCCAGTGGGCCTAACTTAGCAGCGCCTGGCCCAAATTCAGCGTTCCATTAGGACGAAATGCTAGAATCACTAGGGTTACTTCTTTTTTTTAGTTATTTTTTTTTTAGCAGTTACGGAGAAAGACAGGATTTATAGCATGGGTTGTGGGAAAGTTACCTGGTCGTGCCCTCGGGATGCCCTCCTTCCAGTTCCCCGGTTTAGAAAGTTGGTGCACAAAATGCGTCTCTGTCCTTTGGAGCGGTTCGCCAGCCTTATGAGAAGGGTTCCCCTGTACCGTGCCCTGGACTGCGTGTTCTAAAATGTGAATTCTGTGCTCGTGGTAGGAGGGGAGGGTTGTGGATACTGGTCCAGAGGACGGCCAGGCTCCAGAGGCTGCTGTGGAGGGGGGCGGGGGGAGACGGAAGGAGACAGCTGCCTTCTCTCCTGCCTCTCTTCAGCTAAAAGGGGGCTCTGGGCAGAGAAGGGGCTCCCCAAAGTGCCCACCCGAGCTCCTGGGGGCATTTCCAGGGTTGGAGAGGCCCAGCTCAGGTTAGCAGCAGTGCTGACTCAGGCTGCAGGGAGAACGTCCCCTGAAACTCCCGGACCCTTATTTGAGGACCCTTATACACAGTCCATCCTTCTCAGTCTTATGGAAAAGGTAATCAGCACACCTTGAGAGGGCAGGGCCGTTCTTACCGAGCCGTGATGCATAGTCTAGGCAATGATAACTCCTCTGCAGCCGACTGTAGCCCCTCCTCTCCCGTCCATGCCGGGGGCGTGCCCCCACGCCACCGCATGCCCGGAGCCCGTTGCTGTTGCTCCCGGGAAAAGACTGATTGTTCCCCGAGGACCCGACCCTAGGCCCCCGGTGTGGACCTTTCTGCTGTTCCCCCCCCCCCCAGGTGCGCTTCCTGGAGCAGCAGAACAAGATGCTGGAGACCAAGTGGGGCCTGCTGCAGCAGCAGAAGACTGCCCGGAGCAACCTGGACAACATGTTCGAGAGCTACATCAGCAACCTCCGGCGGCAGCTGGAAGTCCTGGGCCAGGAGAAGCTCAAGCTGGAGGCGGAGCTCGGCAACATGCAGGGCCTGGTGGAGGACTTCAAGAACAAGTGAGCCCCGCTGATGGGCGGTTTGCCCCTGTGGCCACGCGATCAGTTCTGCGTGGGGCAGCCCAGTCTCCGCTTACCATCGGAGATGCTAGCGCATCAGCCTGAGTTCCGTCTCAGGACTGTCTAGATTTGGGCAACGAATTTCCTGTTTAGATAGCGTCCCTAAGCTGGGTCTGGGCATACATTTGTAATATTCTTCTCAGGAGGCAGAGACAGGAGGGTCACACAAACACAAGCACAGCCTGATTTCCTAGTGAGTTCTAGGCCAGCCAGAGCTACATAGTGAGAGTCTGGGTTTTTGTTTTGTTTTGCCTTTTTGTTTTTTGTGCGCTTAGATGAGAGAGGCAGCTAGAAGCTCTCACTTTTACACTAACTGCCATGATCTTACTGGAAGGCTTGCCAGAGAGAGCTCTGAAGCCTCCTCGGGCTCCATGCTAACTCTCTCAATATGTCAAGTCTAATGTGCTTTTGGACAGTGCTTTTCTGCTCTAGGTCTCCTCACTGGCTGAGAATAAGGTTGGGTGGAGAGGGAAATAGCTATCAAGGCCAGAACGACCAGCTCAAATGCCGTGCGGCTCTGAGCTGAACTTTCTAGACATGCGGTCCCCCATTAAGCAAGGTGGGCAGGCGTGAAACTGTGCACGAATTTAGCTCAGGCTCCATCCCGGGTGGCAGAGCACCCAGCCTGCCTTCACCTTCACCCGCTAACTCCAAGCCTCTTCTTACTAGGTACGAGGACGAGATCAACAAGCGTACAGAGATGGAGAATGAATTTGTCCTCATCAAGAAGGTGAGGGTCTGGGCACTATGGTGATGGCTCAGTGGTTAAGAGCACTGGCCTTTCTTCCAGAGACCCAAGTTCAGTTCCCACATTACCCACATCAAATGGCTCACAACTCCTGTAACCTCAGCGCCAGCGCATTCAATGCCTCTGGCCTCTGAGGGCACCAGCACTCATGTGTACATAAACACACACACACACACAATTAAACACAATAAAAATTAATTTAAAAAAAAAGAAAGCAAACCAGGCCCTCTCACATCTTATCTGCAGACACAGGAGCCTGTGGGACTTAGACTCGGAATGTCCCGGGTTTTTCTAATGACCTCATTGCTTTCTAAGCAATAGGATAGAGTCCTTTGCCATCGGACACCTTCCAGATCATAGGAGGGTAGACGGACGGGGAGTTACGTCCGGCAGTTAGAGTATTTCGGTTATCGAGTTGGACTGGTTAATGGTCTAGCCTTAGCTTTCTGGAGGAGGAGGTGGGGCTAGGCGCCCACAGGAAGCAGAGGTACAGTTGCTTGGCTGGGCAGGAGGGTGGGCCACCAGGCTAAGCTGGGCAGATGTTGGGACCGTGCTCAGGCGCCTCGCCTCACCCTCAGGATGTGGACGAGGCCTACATGAACAAGGTGGAGCTGGAGTCCCGCCTGGAAGGGCTGACTGACGAGATCAACTTCCTTCGGCAGATCCATGAAGAGGTGAGTTCCCAGGGCGAGGGCGGCCAGCCCCCAGCCTGCCTGTGCCCTACTCTGGCCCGCTGTTCAGTCACTGTGGGCACCGTTAGCGTTGTTTAGGCCCCGCCCCCTACTTGCAGTGACTGAGAAGTGAAATCACCCACCCCAAGTCCTCCCACAGAGGCAGCCTAACTGAGGCTGGCGGTGGCCTCCTCGCCTTGGCCGTGCCCTAACTTCAGGTTTCCCCCAGGCCTCCCTCCACGTCTCCAAGGCCATCTTCCTTCCACCCTGACTTAGGTGTTCCCAGGCCTTAGCTCTCACTTGCTCTTTGTCGAGTTGCCTGACCGCTCGCCCCGCCCTGCAGGAGATCCGGGAGCTGCAGTCCCAGATCTCGGATACCTCTGTGGTCCTCTCCATGGACAACAGCCGCTCCCTGGACATGGACAGCATCATCGCCGACGTCCGCGCCCAGTACGAGGACATCGCCAACCGCAGCCGGGCCGAGGCTGAGAGCGTGTACCAGATGAAGGTAGAGAGTGGGGTCCCACGCCCGGCCCCATCATGGCCAGGTCTGAGCCCTGCCTCCTGCGGAGGGAACAGGGTTCCAAATTCCGCTCTGCCTGCTGGGGGCTGGCTCTGCAGTGTGGAAGCCTGGAGTTCTGAAAAAGGCTTCACTGGTGTGCCCGCATGCGTGTGTGCGTGTACGCTCGCGCCTCCACACACGCTTCTGCACATATGGCTTCTGCACATATGTGAAATGACCCAGGCTTTGGGGGCACGGCCAAGAGGCGGCTCTTCCAGCTAAAACCTCACGCCCCTTCTTGGCCCTGCAGTACGAGGAGCTGCAGACCCAGGCCGGGAAGCACGAGGATGAACTTCGCCGCTCAAAGACGGAGATCTCTGAGATGAACCGCAATATCAACCGCCTGCAGTCCGAGCTGGAGAAGCTCAAGGGCCAGGTACTGAGGGGCGTGGGTGGGGCTGGCGAGAGGAGGTCAGGAAGGAGGGGGGAGCCCGTGTCTGGCCTGAGAGCGGCAGGGCAGCTTCTCGGTCAGCTGTCTCCATGGCTGTGGGGACGCTCTGCGGTTGGCTAGAGGCCGGGTCCCCCAGGCCGTCTCCGTCCAGTGTGCCACCTGCAGGGCAAGGCTGCTACTTTGTGAAAACTCTAGAAAGCAGGGCCCATCTGGGTAGCTTCTTTTGCTCGCTGCATGGAGTTGGCCTAAGTCGGGAGGGGAGACTTTCAGAGACGCTCAGGGGGGAGCTGGGCGTGTCGCTCAGTTGCTCAAGTGCTTGCCTAGCATGCCTGAAGCCCTGGGTTCAGCAGGGCATAAGACCAGCTGTGGGGGTACACGCTGGTAACTGCAGCAGCTGTAGCCGCCGGAGGAGGACTGCTGAAAGTTCTAGGCCAGCCTGGGCTTCAAACCCTGTGACAGCCCAAGCTCGGTGCGGATGGGCCGTAGGGAGGACATGTGTCTCCTCCCACAGAGGGCAAACCTGGAGGCGGCCATCACTGAGGCCGAGCAGCGCGGGGAGCTGGCCATTAAGGATGCCAACGCCAAGCTGGCCGAGCTGGACGCCGCCCTGCAGAAGGCCAAGCAGGACATGGCGCGGCAGCTGCGCGAGTACCAGGAGCTCATGAACGTCAAGCTGGCGCTGGACATCGAGATCGCCACCTACCGCAAGCTGCTGGAGGGCGAGGAGAGCCGGTGGGTTTGGAGGTCTCTCAGGAGACCTGGAGCTGGGAGGGGTGGGTGCTGTCTGGGCCCTCCCGGGACATGGGGTCTGCTCTTGGATGAGAGGGCCGAGAGTGGGTCCTGACGCCCATGCATCTGGTTACAGACTGGAGTCTGGGATGCAGAACCTGAGCATCCACACGAAGACCACCAGCGGCTACTCAGGTGAGGGTCCTGGCCTTCGGGTCAGAGGGCAGGGGCCCCGGGAGACGCTGGGCTCAAAAGCCGATGACAGATAAAGGGAAGGGGTAGGGTCCCTGCTCTTGGCGGCGTTCCAGGGTGATTGGCGACAGACTGATATGCTCAGGAATAGAAAGTCCCAGGTCAATGCCTGCAGTGTGCCAGGCTGGCGCTGAGGTCCTTGTGTGTGCTACTGTGGCCTTTACGTATTTTCCTGTTTTCCACATTCTCGGGTTCTCCGTGTAGCCTGAGAGAGGGGCTCCGCGGAGGGTCTGTTAGGGACACGCAGCTAGAAGAGAAGCCTTTCCCATGCTGGGCCAGGCAGAAATCAGTCAGGTCAGAACCAGCCTCTCCAGCAGCCTGCCTTTGCCCGTGCTCACGTGGCTGCCTCCATCCCTTGCCCTGGACCAGGAGGACTGAGCTCCGCCTATGGGGGACTCACTAGCCCCGGCTTCAACTATGGAATGAGCTCCTTCCAGCCCGGTTTCAGCTCCGCCGGGGGCTCCAGCTCTATCACGCGCAGCAAGGCTGTGGTCGTGAAGAAGATTGAGACCCGCGACGGCAAGCTGGTGTCCGAGTCTTCTGATATTCTGCCCAAGTGAAAGGCCGCTGGGTCGCTGCCAGCCTGTGCTCCCGCAGCTGCTCAGGGGAACAAGAGGCCCACCCCAGGATTAGCCCTCTGGCCAACCCAGGGAGGAATCTCCCATCTGGTGCATCCCGCCGGCCCCTGCCTTCTACCCAAACCCAACTCAATTGTATTTTCCAAAATAAAGCCTCTGCTGGCTCCATCGACTGGCTTTGCTCTGTGTCTTAGTCAGGGCTCCTATGGCTGCGGCGAACACGGTGACCAAGGAGCAAGTTGGGGAGGAAAGGGCTTACTTGATTTACACTTTCAGGTCATAGTTCATCACCGAGGGGAGTCAGGACAGGAGCTCGATCAGGGCAGGAACCTGGAGCAGGCGCTGAGGCAGAGGCCGTGGAGGGGGCTGCTGACTGGCTTGCTCCCCAGGGCTGGCTCAGCCTGCTTTCTTATAGAACCCAGGACCACCAGCCCAGGGATGGCTCCACCCCCCACGGGCTTGCCCTCCCCCACTGATCACTAACTGAGAAAAAGCCCTACAGCTGGACCTCATGGGGCATTTCCTCAGCCTCCTTCCTCTGCAGTGCACTAGCTTGAGAGGAGCAGACCCAGCACGCTCTGTGTGTATGTGCTTGTAGGTGGGACGGGATGGGCAGGGGTCCTTCCTGGGACACGGAAGCTGCTGTGCAGGGAAGGAGAGTCTTTCTTCTCCAGGCTTTTCCAGGAGAATGTGTGGCGCTGGAAACCAGTTGGTGCCCGGCTGTGGACTGTGGACTTTACCAGCGTGTAGCTTCCTATGGTCCGTCTCAGGGTCTCAGAGAGCCCGGTTCCCGTGGGCTTTGTAGCATGCTTGGCCAGGAGGCAGGTGTGGGCGGGTCCACCAGAGAGAGTCAGTCTGCTGTTCCCCAGACCTGGGCCTTGGGACCACTCACAGGAAGTGGCCGGTCCCAGGCGCAGAGTTGGGACTGTCTAGTTGTGCCTCTGCTGGTCAGATGCATGGCTTCCTGGGTCCGTGTGTTTGCCTACTCCATCTTGCCAGGGACCTAGAGCTCTGGTTCCCCTCCTGCAGATGTCCAGAGCTTATTGTCAGTGATGGGCTGTGTCATACCTGCAATTCCTAGATGCTGTGGTAGTTCAGGGAGGGACTTGGCCCCAACACAGGGGCTTGTCCCAGTTCCTCAGGGCACCTCCTCCCCCTTTAATGCTGTGTTTGATAGAAAGGGTGTGTCTGAGCCAGTGTTTGACCATGCAGGGTGGGCCATGAGCTTATGGGTGGGTATCGGTTCACTGGAGTGTGTGAAGGGCTTTGCCTGTCCGTCAAGCAGGAGACAGCTGGATGGGCACTACCAACACTCCGGCACCATCGCCATCAGTGTGGCATTTCTGGCAGTCATGCGGTCCGTGCATTCTCAGGCTAGGTGCCTATCAGGCCTCAGCACTGCTGTTGAGGCGTTTGCTCTTTCAGATTTGTTGAAAACTGATGGAGAACAAACAGATACAGAGGGGACAGGAAGTGGAAACAGTCTAGTACAGGAAGCTCACACCAGCCTCCCTACGGCTAGGATACTTTTCTGCCAGGCCCCTGGCATCAGTCTTGGCACCGTTCTGACTCCATGGATCTGGGCTTAGGCTGGCGTTGTCCTTCCAAGCCTTCTACCACACTCGCAGCCAGGGCCAGGGGTCCCAAGAAAGAGGCTTCAGTCTTCACTGTGTTAGTCGGAACCTGGGCACCCCATGGCAAGCCAGGTCTGTCTTTCCTTAAAAAGCCAATTGAAACCAACAAAAGTGAAAAACAGAAAAAGGACTTCACCATGGCCACCCTGGGGAGAGGAACAGAGATCCAGTGACACCCCAAGTCCATTCAGGGTCCCGGCTCGAGATTTGGGGTTAAGTAGAGGACCAGAGCTGGGCAATAGCTGGCCTCCCGGGGAGCAGTCCACCCACCACTGACCCGTCATTGTCTTGGCTCCTGCAAGGTGGTCTGACCACGTGTAAATCTCCAGGAAATGAACATCACCCACGCAGCCAGCCCAGGCTTTTAGAGGTTCTCAGTTTCGGCTGCTTTGTTTCAGTGCTCTCTGAGCAGAAGTGAGAGAAGCAAGCGTTTCTTTTGACAGGGACTTCTTTGTCCCTCTTCCCAAAGCCGCCACTGGGAGGAGGAAATCTCCTTTTACAGTTGGGGACAAAGCCACAGTGCCAGCTAGAGAGAAGTGTTGGGGACTGTTTTGGAAAAACCTCATTGCCCCATGGGAAATTCTTAGTCCCCCCCTTTTTTTCTCCTATATCAGATTAAGAGGCTACCCTCACTGTGTGTGTGTGTGTTGTTTGTTTTTTTCGAGACAGGGTTTCTCTGTGTAGCCCTGGCTGTCCTGGACTTGCTCTGTAGACCAGGCTGGCCTCGAACTGACAGAGATCGCCTGCCTCTGCCTCGCTGAGTGCTGGGACTAAAGGCGGGCGCCGCCACTGTCTGGCTTTCACAGCACCTATCGGAGCACACAGGCTCACCATTTGTGCTTTAAAATTTTACGTTTTATTGATTGCTTGACTGCCGGATTGGGTATAGACATTCATGCAAATGCAAAGTTCAGGGAAGGACTTGCTGATGTTCTCATCCTCACCCTGTGGGTCCTGGGGGGAGAATTCAGGGGCTCTTCTGAGTGATTTCCATTGCCCTCTTCCCCTTCCTTCCTTCCTTCCTTCCTTCCTTCCTTCCTTCCTTCCTTCCTTCTTTTCTTCCTTCCTTCCTCCCTCCCTCCCTTCCTCCTTCCTTCCTTCCACTATAGCCTAGACTGGCCTAGAACTCACTGTCCTGCCTCAGATGGGATGGCAGTGGGCATGACCACTGTAACTTCAGTAAATTTAGAGGTAAATTCAGTTTCATTAGCACTTACAGACCTCCACTAGCGAGTCCCTGGCATCAGGAGGATAGTTATCAGGGTTGCCTGGCAATCCAAACACCCCGAGGGGACTCTGGCCCATTAGTTCCCCAAGTCAATATTTTCAGTTTTGCCACACCCTGTCCTTGAAGCCAGCCACCTGTCTTATCGGTCCCACTGCCAGGCAAGGAGCAGGCTGGGAGCAGCCGCCCCTGTGGCTCCCAGCTGATCCGCACACCCTGATGTTTGCTGAAGGGAAAGCAGCACAGCTTCCCACGCCAGAGCCTGCCCTGTGCACCGGGCAGCTCCAGCGCTCAGGGGACACCCTCCTTCCTGTCAGAACCTATGTATCTATTCACATTTTTAAATTCACCCTTACATGTGTGGGTGTTTCGCATATGTGTGCACCGTGTGTGCCTGGTGCCCACAGAGGTCAGAAGACAGTGTCGGGACAGGAGTTAGACAGTTGTGAGTTGCCACGCCAGAGCTCCAGATTATTGCGAGCTGTGTCGTGGGTGCTGGGAACTGAACTGGGAGCGTTTGCCAGTATCATCAGCTGAGGAGCCTTCTTTCTCCCCAGCCTTACACACTGAGACAGGGCCTCACTCTGTAGGCCAGGCTGGCCTCACAGCCTGTCTCCTCCTCCTCCTGAGTTCTGGAATTGAAGGTGTGCACAACCACGTTCAGTCCTGTCACAGAGGAGGCAGGTGTCGCTCCGAGGAGGAATGCTTGTCTGACTTGCACAAGCTCTTGGGTTCTATCCAAGAACTAAGCAGAGGCAGGGGCTCAGCTGACAGAGTGCATAAACCAGGCATTCTGGCAAAGCCCGTTATCCCAGCCCTCAGGAGACAGAGGCAGGAGGACAGAAGTCCAAGTGTGAGCCAGCCTGGGTACAGGAGCCCTCGACTTTATGAATGAATGAATAAGTGACTGGAATAATGTTTTATTTGCATGAGGAGACTTGTGATTATAGGACATAAAAATTTTAAACATACCCAGCCCTGAACACTTGTAGGCTCTCCATCTGGAGAGTCAAGGAACCATGAATAGAAAACACTCTAGGAGAAAGGGTTACACCCATATCGCAGACATCCAGGTTCTCTTTCTTGTCCTTGTTACCTAACTAAAACAGTCTAATGTTACCCAGCACTTACATGACATTAACCATATCCCGTCATGACTCACGGTGTAAGGAAGGGCTCAGTTGGGGTGGCCCTTGGTTCGCACTGCTTTTTAACTCTATTTCAGTTTGGTCTCTTGCACCTCCACCTCCCTTCCACTAGCCCCTAACACTAGGTAGGAGAGAAAGAAGGTTGGAAGTGGGGGGGGGAGACGACACACGTAGACCTCTTTACCTCTTCTGGCTGGGCAGAGTCGTAGGGTTCTTCGGGGCGATACTAACCCCAGCCATCAGGATATCCAGCAGTCCAGCTAACTAGAAAATAGCAAACTAACAAACAGCCTTCTTCCCCCTCTGAGTGTCTCCTCAAGGCGTCTTCTCAAAGCTTTCCTAGAAGCCGCCTTTGTCTCCCTGGGCTCTGGAATTTATACCCCCTCAGAGTCCTCAGAGCTCAGCTACCTCAGCCGGCAAAGACCATGCCCAGCAAGAGGCATAAACTAAGGCAGCCCCTTACCCCACACTTGGGATTAAAACAAAAACCTATTTACATAACATAACTGAGTTTTTTAAATAAACCAAAGCTTCCAGTAGAGCCCACACTTGTAATTTCATCTCTTGAGACTGAAGCAGCTGAGGTCAACGCCTGGGCTATACAGCCAGAGCTTGTCTCAGATCAAAAGCCAGAACCAAAACCAAAACCAACCAACCAACCAACCAACCACAAACAAATGAAGCAAAAACAAACACCCCCCCCAAAAAAAAATAACCCTCCAAAACAAACAAAGAAACAAAACCCAAACTGAATAAAACCAAAGCAAGATGGAGACTAAGTTACAGGAGTATTAGGTTCAGGGCAAATCCCTTTTATTTGGGAGACAGATTCTGAGTATTTTGGCTCACCAGGGATCCTGAAGTCAGTTTCCGCTGGGCTGAGGGACAGCTGTGGCTACTTGCCTGCGGGGCCTGTGCTTAAGGAAGGAAAGAAACAGAGAAGGAAAGGGCAGGAGTGCTCCTGGGTAAGTAAGAGAAACTGTAGGTAAAAGGGAGCCGCAGCCAGAGGCAGAGAAGGGGGAGGGCAGCCCCGGGGGCTGGAGACCCTACAGGAAGGGTGTGCGGCCAGGAGGCAGGGTACCCGGTCTGGACAGAGGTGTGGAGTCAGGTGGCTTTTATATGTTAAATAGGAGCTTCAGCCTTTTGTCCCAGGTTTGAGACCTAA